TTCTTAAGGCCTGAAGCTATGTTGAGTAATTGGAGAATCATTTCAAGAAAAAAATCATATCCAGGGGCATGTCAGCTGAAGACCTTAAGCACAGACATGTTGCTTCTCCCAGTTAATGCTTTTCCCAACTTGTTTGCTCTTTTGGGGAAAAGATTTGAAGACTTCGTCGTGCCAACTACAGTCAATCCGGGGCAATCACGTCGAGATTTGACGAATCTCTCTAAGAGTTTGAAGACACCAGAGCATGGTGAATGCCAGGTCTTTTGTAAAATCCTCTTGAGACGATTTCTCCCCATCAACCATATAGCTTGGGGCATTTTAGAAGTGAAGTTATTCGCAAGAATCGTCCTGCATCATGCAGCTTATCAACAGTAAACTTGGGGCATCCAAAATTAGTCCCAGGGGCAATCTAGATTTGTCAAGATATGTTTTGCACACATTATCAGAGGGTGGTGTTCCCAGTATCTCCATCTAAGCATGACTTTTTCCAGCTGAAACTTTGTTTGTGTTGTTATCCTTTCAATGGATTGTTTGCAATAGAAGACTGGACTTTGGATTTTCTACCTGAAGATATCTTCCTCTCCAGAGATATTTAACCCTTGTAAAAGGACCTTGCTCCAATGATGGCCTGTGTTTTATCTCCAGTAATGTTCCCATCCTGTTGAGATTAGCCGAGTGTTGGGTTGTGCTATGATGTCTTATCATCTCCAGTTTATCTTGTCTATTTGTTTTGTCAGCATACATGGCATTCATTTATTCGTTCACACTTGCATCATGCATGCACAGTTGTATTTGTTGATGTCTTTGAGTACGTATACCTTGGTTATGTCTATTCAAATAGCGTATTTGATCTTTCCAAATAGAGTGTCAACTTAAGCAGAAAGTGCGCCTCTTTTTCTAATTCCCCACTGAGTTAACTCTCATGGAAGAATATTGCTTTAGCTTTCCTTTTCCATCTCTGGATAGGATAAATCCCCATTTGAGTTGTTTCCTCATTGGGTGGAGTCTTGTTTGACTATTTTCTCTCCAGTTTATTCCTGGATTGAGCTTTGTCTCTTGTGAACGATACCTTGTGGATCTCTCTAGGCTGTGAAACCTAGATGGAGAGTGCATTTATTTTGCAACATAAATACTTGGTCTCCTCAAGAAGGATTTATTCATGGTTCCCCATTGAAGATGAACTTTATTCCCCAGCAGTGTTATCACAACCTTCTCCTGGAATATCGACATAACAACAAGCGACTGACTCTTTATTTGAGCAGTTCGATTATTTCGGATTTCTTTACGACAAATGGCAGTCTCTTCATGAGCAGTTTGTCCATCCTCGATGAAATTATTGGTTCTCACCTCCAGCAATATCTTCACGATATTTTATGGGTATCTTTTTGGGAAACAGCAAGCGGCAGTCTCTTCATGAGCAACTTGTGTGTTATGGATACTCTTGACAAACAACAAGCGGCGGTCTCTTCATGAGCAACTTGTATGTTATTGTCACCTTTGAAAACATCAAGCGGCGGTCTCTTCATGAGCAACTTGTATGTTATTGATACCTTCGAAAACACAACAAGTGGCAGTCTCTTCATGAGCAACTTGTGTGTTATTGGTAATTTTGAAAAGAAACAACAAGCGGCGGTCTCTTCATGAGCAACTTGTATGTTATTGTTACCTTTAAAAACAGCAAGCGGCAGTCTCTTCATGAGCAACTTGTGTGTTATTGGTAATTTTGAAAAGAAACAGCAAGCAGCAGTCTCTTCATGGACAACTTGTATGTTATCAACGCTTTTTAAAAAAAAACAGCAAGCGGCAGTCTCTTCATGGACAACTTGTATGTTATCAACACTTTTTTGAAAACGGCAAGTGGCGGTCTCTTCATGAGCAGCTTGTACGGAAAACAGAAAGTGGCAGCTTCTTCATGAGCAGCTTGTACGTTAGTATTTTTGGAAGACAGGAAGTGGCAGCTTATCTATTTGAGCAACTTGTGTGTTATTGTTCCCTTGAAAACGGCAAGTGGCAACTTCTTTATGAGCAGCTTGTGGGTTTTTGGCAACAAGTGGCAGACTCTTCATGAGTAGCTTATGTGTTTTAATATTCTTTGAAGATGGAAAGTGGCAGCTCTTCATGAGCAGCTTGTGGGTTATTGGCAACAAGTGGCAGACTCTTCATGAGTAGCTTGTGTGTTTTGTTCCCTTGAAGACAACAAGTGGCAGCTTCTTTATGAGCAGCTTGTGGGTTTTTGGCAATAAGTGGCGGACTCTTCATGAGCAGCTTGTGTGCTTTAATATTCTTTGAAGACAGCAAGTGGCGGTCTCTTCATGAGCAGCTTGTATGTTTTTGACACCTTTGAAAGGAAGCAAGTGGCGGCCTCTGTATTTGAGCAGCTTGTATATCCCCAACAATAATGTCTACTCAGCAAATGGCATCCCTTCGGAAAAGTCCCGTGGGGAAGTTTGTTATTTCATCCTTTTCAAGCGATATCTTGGTTAGAGAAGAAATGCGTTACCGTTCTTGGTAAAATTCAGAAATCAGAGATGTTTATCTCCAGCCACAGTGCTGATGTCAATTATTTTCCAGTCTCAGTACTGATGTCCATCATTTCCTTTTCCAGTCACAGTACTGATGTCAATCATATGCTTTTCCAGTCACAGTACTGATGTAAATCATTACCTTTTCCAATCTCAATACTGATGTAAATCATTCAAGAGTCTCTCATTTGAAGTCTACGACTCTGTTTCCCCAGTGGAGTTACAACCTCTTCCTCTGTAGGATTACTGTATAATGTGCTTGGTTTCTCCAGCATAGTCTGTCTCATATGGCGTCATTCCCCATAAAATTCAGAGCATTACATTCATATCAAATCATGAACATAATCGCGGTATCTTAAGGCCAAAAATTGTGTATTCTATATTTAAGTCCCTTCAATCTCGTCAAAATGAAGATCCCGATCTTCATATCTCCAGATAGAAGAAACTTAAATAGGGGCAGCTGTTGTACCCCAATTTTTGACCTAAGATCCCATTTTTGTTTTGCATTTTTTAAGATAAGTCAAGGTCACGAAATACGGTCGGTTTTAACCTCTCACCTTCGAGCTTTGACTATGTGAAGATTGTCAAGTGTTTTGAACATTTTGAGCCTATGTATCACTAATTTCTAATCGCATACAAAGGTGTATGTTCCTGTTTTCTTTTGTGTCATGTGCAGAGACAGGTCTGAATCAAGAGCATCAGGTGTCGCGCCTCAATTAAGGTTTTGAGTCCCCCGAGCCCGAAGTACGGTTGATTATGGATTCTCGAAGACTGATTCATCAAGGCACACCGTTGCACCCTAAATTTCGCCCCTAATATGTTTTAGTCGCACTTTCATATCATATTTTGTCATTTGGTCACAATCATTAGTAAATATTTTCATTCATCATATTTTGCATCATTAGTCGTATTTAAGTTGACCAGAAAGAGTCAGTTTAAATCAAAGTTTGCATCGTCTTTCAGTTGTAAAATACCTGACATTTCACTTCATGCATTTTGATCTCTTTACTCGTTTCTTGCATTGCTCCAAGTTGTTTATATGTCGATAATAAAAATATTTTGGTTTTATAGACAAACTGTTAAAAAACGATTCAACAATGTACGAAAAATTGGCGAGAAAAATATTTCAAGTTTCCACCTTTTACCGATCATTTTATAAATCTGCACCTCGCATAGATTACGACGGTATGCTCGCTTTATTTTTCGGTACAGTTCGAAGTCTCGTTTTTAACCTTAAACGTCTGTTTAGTTTGATATTTTTATTATTATTTTATTTTTGATTTTTTTGACTTCTTGAATATTTTTTCTTTAATCTTTGTGACATGTAGATTATTTTAATGTGTTCATTTTATTTTTTCAGATAAATTTTCGTCCGTTTTTTATCATTTTCTGTCATTTTGGGTCTTTATTTTTTTATTCATAAAATATTCAAAAAAATCATTTTAAATTGAGTTATTTTTTATAATTTCAGGTTTTATTTTATTTTTGTCATTCAGGGACTTTTTGGTCACAAAAAATATTAATTAGGCTTCGCTTAATTCTCATTGGTCGATAGCATAGTTTGCGGATTGATAGAGATTGAATTCTCATTGGTCGAAAGCATGGTTTGCGGATTGATAGAGATTAGATTTATATTGAACGGCTTGGATTTATTTTGAAATCATAATATTTCTATTCTTTTTCTATTTAAAGGCTTTTTTTCTTTGTTAAGGAGAGAACAACACAAAAGCATACACAGTTTAACCCACCCTCCTCCATGCTGCACACGGATATGTAGTATCCTCCTAACTTGTTTTCATCAGACTCCATCATGAACCAATCCGCAATTGCTATTCACTCTATTTTAGCATCTCAACTATCTTTTCATTACATTCATTCTCAATTCCACTTTGGGACATTTTGTTAAATATGGTTGGGACCCCTCCATTGTATCTCTCAACATTCCCTATCATTACTCTTCCCACAAATTCCTTAAATTCTATGCTCTATCTTCCACAACAACCCATACTCCCTCTTTCTCACCAATCTCCATCTACCATCACCTTTCGTCTACCTTTGCAAAAACCGTAACTCCCCCCTCTTCGCCTGAACCCAACAACAATAACAACAACACCCTTCATTGTTTCATCCACTAACTCCATTTCCCAATCTCAAAATCGAACCTTGCAAGCCTCAGCATCTACTTCCGGTGATGTTCATGTCATTCTCAGCCCCGTGTTCGCCGAAAAAACCCCCTCCCCTCTCTCTCTTAAATTCTCAACTCGTACATGGTCCCACTCACCCGTTCTTGCCGGAATCGCAACCGATGAACGCCGGCGGAGCCACCGTCACCTTCACCAATGTCGTCGTGTCCCTCCCTTCGTTTAAATTGCTGCTCTTCCTCCTCTGTTTCTCCGGAGCTCCAGCGCACTAGTTTTGCATTCTTCGTTGAATTTTTGAGTGAAATTATCCTCTAGGTGTTCTCTTAGGCAGATAAGAATGGAAACTAATCTTAGTTGTAGCACAGAGGGCAACAACATGGCGACTAGAGGTGCGTTGGTTGTTCTAGAAGGCTTGGATCGTTCTGGGAAGTCTTCTCAGTGTAGCAGACTAGTGTCCTACCTGGAGGGACAAGGGTTACCTACTGAGCTATGGAGATTTCCTGATAGAACTACTGATGTTGGCCAAATGATATCTGCTTATCTTACAAACGCGTCGCAGTTGGATGATCATACTATTCATCTTCCCTTCAGTGCTAATCGTTGGGAAAAGAGGTCATTGATGGAAAAAATTGAAAAGTGGAATAACCCTCATTGTTGATCGTTATTCTTATTCTGGAGTGGCTTTCTCATCTGCCAAGGGACTAGATATTGAATGGTATAAGGCCCCGGAAATTGGATTGTTGGCTCCAGATCTGGTAGCATACCTTGACATATCACCAGATAAAGCTGCAGAAAGAGGAGGGTATGGTGATGAGAGATATGAAAAGTTGGAGTTTCAGAAGAAAGTTACTGAACATTACAAAGTTCTTCATGATGCCTCCTGGACGGTTGTAGACGCTTGGCAACCCATAGAAGATGTTGAGAAACAGTTGCAAGAGATTGTACTCGCTTGTGTCACAGAATGCCAAAAGGGAAAGTCCCTCTCCTCCTTGTGGTTGACATAGACACGCACTCTTGAAAGGGATGTCATGTATGAACAAATATGCCTTATAAATTATGTTTGCCAAGTGATTTGAAGATAGATTGGAGAAATTTTAATATGCTCAACTTGGAAGGAATGTACCATTTCCGATTCAACAACTTCGACAACAACACCGAATCAACAACAACGTGTCACTATTAAAGGTAATTTGGTATCGATTCTATTCAAATTTCACTTTCTCGCTTTGGTTGATGTCGAATTCGAATTTTCGAATTTTTTTCTTTGGTATTGTTGTTTGATAGTTAAAGCTTATGCCAAATATCTTGCATTAAATCTGGTGCGGTGTTGTTTATATTGATTGAACCATGTTGATTATGCACTTCATATGTTTGATCCAAAGCCAAGGTGCTAAGTTGCTATGTGGAATTCTTTTAGGTTAAGTTGCTGCCTATGCTAGTGTTTTGGTTTTGATTTGAATTAATAAGTGTTTTGGTTTTGTTCATTTTGACTTTTATATTTTGTGATTTCAAACGTAAATACTAATTGTTGCAATTTCCTTCATTTTAATTTTTATACCGCTTATGCTACTAACAAGTTTGTTACTGTGAAGGTTTCCGAGAATTCATTTCAAGTATTCATACTTGCATAGCGCATTTGCACTTTTTCTTTCTCCCTTTACCTCTTTATTGTATTTCATTATTTTTTATTTTTATTGGTACTGTAAATATATACTTGTATATAATATTTTGACTGTATATTTTACTTGTAAATAAATTCCGGTTTTTTGAAAATATTATTTTTATTACATTGTGATTTTATTTTTAATTCCAATTAACTTCTGAAAATTGTGCGGACGCACATAAGTTTCCCATGCTGTTAGATTTTGTCGGTATATCTCTTGTGATGCAGGGATTCTTATCTGACACCGTGAGCTTTATCCACCGCCTTTGCGCTTTATCTGATGCTTGGAGTATTATCTCACATTAGGTTTTTTTTTGATGATGCTGTCGGCTTGTGATTTATTTTCACCGAAGGTTTGATATACTCTTAGCTTATTTATCCGTCTGTGGTTTTAACTCCAAGGAAAAGATTTAAATTTTGTTGACTTCATGTCATCGAACATATCTCATACGATTGCGCGAACCCCTTCATTCATCTTTTGTTTGTTTACTATTTTGTTAAACCTAAGATAATTTTCCCAAAAGATTCAATTTTTAAACTCACACCTTTTAAGTCAAAACTTCGACACTAGGTCGTCGCATCTTCAAAATCTCGTCCATACCCATTTTTTTAGCCAAACGAACCATTTTAATCAAACGAACAATTTTTAACCAAAAACAGATATTTCAAAAGGTTCCTGCGGAGTACCGCAGATGCATTGGGTGCTAATACCTTCCCATTGTATAACCAACCCCCGAACTCTCAATCTCTTTCAAAAACGCATGGTATTTTTATTACTTTTAAGTATTATTTTACATTGCATATTTTAGGGTTTTATTTCGCTCTTTTCCCTTTTCCCTTGGAAATAATAAAGCGCGGTGGCGACTCTTGCTTTTGCGAGTCAAGTTAATTAATAGTTTGATCTCCGATTTTCACCGCTACACTAAGGATAAAATAATACATGTTGCAGATATCTTTAGCAGCGAATCAGAAACACCAGTCATGGTACCTGGACTCTGGCTGCTCGCGACACATGACGGGAAGAAGGCATATGTTCCAAAGCCTGGAACTTAAGCCTGGAGGCCACGTTGGCTTTGGAGGAAATCAGAGGGGAAAGATCATTGGCTCTGGAACTGTAGGTAATGGAAATCTTCCCTCTATAAATAATGTTCTGCTAGTAGATGGATTAATGCATAATCTGTTATCCATAAGTCAATTAAGTGATAACGGTTATGATATTATCTTTAATCAAAAATCATGTACAGCTGTTAGTCAGAAAGATGGGACTATCCTATTTAATGGAAAGAGGAAAAACAACATATATAAAATCAAACTTTCTAAACTGAAAAGTCAGAATGTAAAGTGTCTTCTGTCTGTTAACAACGAGCAGTGGATCTGGCACAGAAGATTGGGGCATGTTAGTATGAGAAGAATATCTCAGATTAACAAACTCAATCTGGTCAGAGGACTTCCTAATTTGAAGTTCAATTCAGATGCTCTGTGTGAAGCATGTCAGAAAGGCAAGTTTGCAAAACCTTCTTTCAAATCTAAAAATGTTGTTTCTACCTCTAAGCCATTAGAACTTCTGCACATTGACTTATTTGGACCAGTTAAAACTGCTTCAGTCAGTGGCAAGAAGTATGGGTTAGTAATCGTAGATGACTATAGCAGATGGACATGGGTAAAGTTCTTAAGACACAAGGACGAGTCACACTCTGTGTTTGTTACCTTCTGTAACCAAGTTCAAAATGAAAAGGATCTTAGAATTGTTAAAGTGAGAAGTGATCATGGTGAAGAGTTTGAAAACAAAGATTTTGAGTCATTCTTTAATGACAGAGGCATTCTGCATGATTTCTCTTGTCCTAGAACTCCCCAACAAAATGGAGTTGTAGAATGAAAGAACAGAACATTGCAAGAAATGGCCAGAACCATGATCAATGAGACAAACGTTGCTAAGATCTTCTGGGCAGAGGCAATAAACACAGCGTGCTACATTCATAATAGAATCTCAATAAGACCTATTCTGGAAAAGACTCCATATGAATTGTGGAAGAACAGAAAGCCCAACATTTCATATTTTCATCCTTTTGGATGTACTTGCTTTATGTTAAATACACAAAATTATTTGAACAAGTTTGACTCTAAAGCACAGAAGTGTATTATGTTAGGATACTCTGAACGCTCAAGAGGGTACAAAGTATACAATACAGAAACACAGATTGTGGAAGAATCAATCAGTGTTCATTTTGATGATAAGCTTGACTCTGAAAAGTCAAAGCAGAATGAAGTTTTTGCAGGTATGGAAATTGAATTTACAGGTTCTGAAGACAAGTCATCAGAAGCTATCAACAAAGACACTCCTTCAACATCTGAAAGGAGCACTTCTAGCAATCCTATAACAGCTGCTGATCATCCTCATAAAAGATTACCCAGAAGCACCTTGGATCACCCAGAAGAAACTATCTTAGGAAGAAAGGAAGATCCAATCAGAACCAGAGCAAGCTTCAGAAACTCTGAAGAAACCCTCATGGGACTTGTGTCTCTGATTGAACCTTCTTCTATTGATGAAGCACTTCTGGACAACGACTGGATTCTAGCAATGCAAGAAGAGCTGAATCAATTCACCAGAAATGACGTATGGGATCTTGTTCCCAGACCAAAAGGATTCAACGTCATTGGAACAAGATGGGTGTTCAGAAACAAGATAAATGAACAAGGTGAAGTCATCAGAAACAAGGCACGACTGGTAGCACCAGGTTCTGGTCAGCAAGAGGGGATAGACTACACATAAACCTTTGCTCCAGTCGCCAGGTTCGAATCTATCAGACTTTTAATTTCATTTGCTGTTAATAGAGGCATCACTCTATATTAGATGGATGTCAAGAGTGCATTCTTAAATGGTTATATAGAAGAAGAGGTTTATGTGCACCAACCCCCTGGTTTTGAAAATACAAAACATCCAGAACATGTTTTCAAACTAAAGAAGTCACTATATGGTCTGAAACAAGCTCCCAGAGCTTGGTATGAAAGACTAAGTAACTTTCTGTTAGAAAATGAATTCACCAGAGGGAAGGTGGACACTACCTTATTCTGTAAGTCAGTTAAGAATGACATCTTAGTCTGTCAAATTTATGTTGATGATATTATTTTTGGATCTACTAATCCTTCTCTTGGAAGAAAATTTGCTAAGTGTATGCAGGCAGAATTTGAGATGAGCCTCATGGGGGAACTGAAATTCTTTCTAGGAATTCAGATCAATCACACTCAAGAGGGAACTTACATTCATCAGAGCAAATATGTCAGAGATCTTCTGAAGAAATTTGACCTCTCAGAATGTAAGCCATCAAAGATTCCAATGCATCCCTCGTGCATTCTGGAAAGAGAAGAGGTAAGCAAAAAGGTAGAACAGAAGGTCTACAGAGGTATGATTGGTTCTCTCCTTTATCTGACAGCTTCAAGGCCTGATATCTTATTCAGCGTATGTATTTGTGCTAGATTCCAATCAGATCCTAGAGAATCTCACTTAACAGCTGTTAAGCGAATTTTCAAGTATCTGAAAGGTACTACTAATCTGGGTTTATTTTATAGAAAATCTAGTGATTACAGCTTAGTAGGCTACTGCGATGCTGACTTTGCTGGAGACAGAGTAGAGCGTAAAAGTACTTTTGGAAGCTGCCAGTTTCTGGGAGAAAATCTGATCTCTTGGTCCAGCAAAAGGCAATCCACAATTGCGCTATCAACAGCAGAAGTTGAGTACATAGCAGCAGCAGGATGTAGCACACAAATGCTCTGGATGAAAAGTCAGCTTGAAGACTTCCAGATTTTTGAGAGTAACATCCATATACTCTGACAATACTTCTGCTATTTGCTTAAGTAAGAATCCCATTTTACATTCTAGAGCTAAGCATATAGAAATAAAACATCACTTCATTAGGGACTACATTCAGAAAGGAATTTTGAACTTAAAATTTATTGATACAGACCATCAATGGGATGATATCTTCACTAAACCCCTTTCTGAAGATAGGTTCAATTTCATTTTGAAACATCTCAGCATGAAAATCTGCCCAGAGTGAAAATGCTTTGATTATATATATTTATCTTCAGAATGTATTTGTTTTTCTGTGAACTTCTGATCAATCTCTTTTCAGAAAGATAGAACATGCAGATTGTATCAGATGCTATTCTTAAAGATCTGAGCGTTTCAGCTCAAGGAGAGACGTGCTGCTCACTAAATCAAACAAGTGTCATCCAATCATCAGCAAATCTCTGAAGTAGAATGTGTGCATGCTTCTGAGAAGGCAAAACGCTGATTGGGTGCATTGAGACACATGTCTGGTAACTGTTTCAAGTATCTTTCTC